GCCCAAGAGAAAAAAACCCTGTATAACTTCCCTTAAAGAAATGGAGTTGGCCCTGGCTGGTTTGGCTTAGTGATTAGAACACAAGCCTGTGGACCAAAGATTCTCAGGTTTGATTCCCAGTCAAGGGCGCGTACCAGGTTGCAGGTTCAATCCCTGGCCCCTATCTGGGTCCTGCAGAAGGCAATCAATCAATGTGTCTCTCTCGAATTGATGTTTCTCTTTCTCTCTCTCCCTCTTTCCCTGTTCCTCCCTCCCACTCTATCTAAAACAATGGAAGACTATCCTTGGGTGAGGATTTTTTTTTTTAATTAAAAAAAAAGAAAGAAATGGAACTAAACCGGAAGCATAAGTAGTTAACAGATGATATTAGACCTGGACATTTTGAATGAGTAAGTTCACTTCCTACAGGATGTCCTAGTCCCAGAAATTAGGGCACTGTGTGGTGCAAATTTTACAGGGCTCCCATTGGCTTCCTGGTCCTTTTCTTCCCGAGGTAGCAGTGGTCATGGCCTTGGCATCTTCTTTCTATACGAGGTGCACTGAGCTTGTGTGCTTCACTTCGGGGACCATGCATGGTGGTTTTTAAAATAATGCTCTCCTTGTGGTCCCGTGCACTGAGAGGTCCCGGTTCGATTCCTGGTCAGGGCACACGCCTGGGTTGTGGGCTCGATCCCCAGTAGGGGGCGTGCGTGCAGGAGGCAGTTGATTGATGTTTCTCACATCCGTGTTTCTATCTCTCCCTTCCACCCTCCCTCTCTCCGTCTCTCTAACAAATAAATAAAAACATATTTTTTAAAACTTTATTTAAAAATATAATTTAAGCCCTGGCCAGTTTGGCTCAGCGGTGAGAGCGTCGGCCTGCGGTCCGGAGAGACCCGGGTTCGGTTCCCGCTAAGGGCACGTACTTCGGTTGCAGTTTGTCCCCGGCCCTGGTTGGTCGTGCGGGTGGCAGCCACTCGATGTGTCCCTTCACGTCGATGTTTCTCACTCTCTCTCCCTTCCTCTCTCTCCCTCCCATTCTATCTGTACAAAAAATGGAAAAATATCCTCTGGTGAGGATAAATATATATATATATTTTAAAATTAATTAATTAAAATAATGCTTTCCTGTTGGTTCATCAGGAACCAAGTCTCCTGGCTAAATTCCAACACAGATTATTCTTGTCTTTTATTCTGTGTCTGATAAATGCTGGAGTAGATTTCCAGGCTGCTTGAAACTGAACCCGGGCACAGCCAGAAAGATACCCTCGGGGAAGCGGATGTTGTGTGGAACTGTGGTTTGTTATATTCTTACATTTTTAGACCAGAATAAATAGTTCTAGGGTACCAGGAAACATTGATGGGTTACCACCAGTAACCTGATGGGAGGTTGGTATGCCCCCACTCCCCTACCCTGCACCCCCAGCATTTGGTTGACTAAAACTGACAGTCTAGATGACTCAACAAATGATAGATGTCCCTTAGTCACAGACTGCTGTTCCCAAATCACATATTAAAAAAAAAAAATCCCTTAGTTTATAGAACTTTGCTGTAGATTGACTTCAATTTTCTAGACAGTGATTTATTCCTCTTACTTACTGTTTCTGTCTTATATCATTATACTCATTTTAAGATAGTGTATCAACCTTTTGCATATTATAAACTATTTTTTGAAGTCGGGGTAATACTGGACTCATAAAACAAGTTGGGAAGTGTTTCTGTTTCTTCTGTTTTGGGGAAGAAATTATGTAGAATCACTATTATTTCTGTTTAAATGTTTGGCAGAAGCCATCTGGACCTAGACATTTCTTTTTAAGGGGATTTAAAATTACTAATTTCATTTCTTTTTTTCCAGTCTTTTTTAAATTGAGGTTTGATTGACATACAACATTATCTTAGTTTCAGGTGTACAGCCTAATGACCACAGGAAGTCTAGTTCACATTCGTCACTACACACAGTTACAAATTTTTTTCTTCTGGTGATAAAAACTTTAAGATCTACTCTCTCGGCAACTTTCAGGTATGCAGTACAGCGTTTATAACTTGAAGTTTGTGCCTTTGACTCCCTTACCCATTTCTCCACCTCTTGCCTCTGGCAGCCACCAGTCTGTTCTCTAGATCTGAGTTCAGTGTTTTCGTTTTTAAAATAGATTCTACATATATGACATCATACAATATTTGTCTTTCTCTGACTTATTTAGCATAATGCCCTCAAGCTCCATCTATATTATCCCAAATGATAAGATTTTATTCTTTCTTCTGGCTGAATAGTGTGTGTGTGTGTGTGTGTGTGTGTGTGTACCGCGTCGTCTTTATCCATTCATCCAGCATTGGACACTTCGATTGTTTTCATATTTTGGCTGTTGAAAATGATGCTGCAATGAACATGGGGTGCATGTATATTTTTTAATTGGATTTTTTCGGATAAATGCCCAGAAGTGGAATTGCTAGATCATATGGTAGTTCTTTTTTTTTTTTTTTTTTTAATATGTTTTTATTGATTTGAGAGAGAAACATTGATGAGCGAGAAACAGAGATTGAACCCCCTCACTGGGGATTGATTCCACAACCCGGGCATGTACCCTGACCAGGAATTGAACCACCAACCTCTCCTGGGAGGATACTCAACCAACTAAGCCATGCCAGCCAGGGCTAACTGGGGTTTTTTGATAATAGCCATCCTAATGGGTATGAAGTAATATCTTTTTTGTGGCTTTAATTTGCATTTTCCTAATGATTAGTGATGGTGAGCATCTTTTCATGTGCTTATTATCCATTTCTGTATTTCCTTTAGAAAATGGCTTTTCAAGTCCTTTGCCCATTTTTTTTTTTTTTTTATTTTGTTAGGATATTTTAGAACAGTTTTAGGTTCACAGTGTAATGAATGGGAAGGTGCAGAGATTCCCCATATACCCCCAGTCCCTGCACTCATAGCCTCCCCCATTATCAGCATCCCACCAGAGTGGTACATGGTTACAACTGATGCTCTTACACTGATGCATTATTATTACCCAAAGTCCATAGTTCACGTCAGGGCTCACTCGTGGGGTTGTACATTCTGTGGGTTTGGACAAGTGTATAATAATGTGTCCGTCTCTATGGTATCGTGCAATACAATGCTGCCTGGAAACCCTCCATGCTCTGCCTGGTCATCCCTCCCACCCCTCACCCTTGGCAACCACTGATCTTTTTACTGTTTCCAGAGTTTTCCCTTTTTCAGAAAGTCATGTTGTTGGAGTCGTGCCTGTAGCGTTTCCAGATTGGGTCTTTCATTTAGATGGGCGTTTGAGGTTCCTGTGTGTTTCTCCGTGGCTCCGTAGCTCACTTCTTTTCCATGCTGCATAATATTCCATTGTCTGGGCGGACCACAGTTTATTTAGACATTCACTACTGAAGGACATCTGCCTGCTTCCAAGTTTGGGCAACGGTGAATAAAGCTGCTCCAAACGTGTGCAGGTGTGTGTGGATGTAGGTTTTCAACTCCTTTAGGTAAATACTAGGAAGCATAATTGTTGGATTGTATGGTACGAGTATGTTTTGTAGGAAACTGCTCAACTATCTTCCAAAGTGGCTGTTCCATTTTACATTGCAGCAGTGAGGGAGAGCTCTTGTTGCTCCACATCCTCCCCAGCACTGGGTGTCGTCAGTGTACCGGATTTTGGTGCCTCTAATAGGGGTGCACATGTTATCTCGTGTTAATTTGCGCTTCCCTGATGATGTGATGTGGAACATCTTTTCATGTGTTTAGTTGTCACCTGCATACCTTCTTTGGTGAGATCTCTGTTCAGATCTTTGGCTTCTTTTTTAATTAGGTCATTTTCATATCGTTGAGCTTTTAACTCTTGCCCGGCCGATGTGGCTCAGTAGTTGAACATCGACCAGTGCACCAAGAGGTTGCCAGTTGATTCCTGGTCAGGGCACATGCCCAGGTTGTGGGCCCGATCCCCAGTGGAGGGCATGCAGGAGGGGGCCAGTTGATGTTCTCTCTCATCGATGTTTCCATCTCTCTTTCCCTCTCCCTTCCTCTCTGTCTAAAATCAATAAAGGACAAAGAAGCAACCAATGAATTCATAAATAAGTGGAGCAACAAATCAGTCTCTCTCTCTCAATCCCTACCTTTTCCCTCTTCCTCTCCTTCTCCGTTTCCCTCTGACTCCCTGAAAATGAATACATAAAAAATTTTTTTAAAGATTGGAATGTTTGAGTGTACAAACTATGTGCCTGGATGAAGAAACTTGGTGGTGGTTAAATATCATTTCTAAAGTTTGTTTGGAATGTGAGAGGACCAAGACAATTCCAAAAACATTCCAAATTTATTGTCTGCTCTCTAGAATAATACATAGTATAACCTGTAGTAATTCACATAGTCCTAGTTTAGGAATAAACAGAAAAGAATCGAGGACTCAGATATAAAAAAAAGAAACTTTCTTATACTCTGTTATCAAATTCAAGGTGGATGAACATTTTAAATTTCACTTTAAAAGTCATACAAATACTATTAGAAAAATTATTTAATTTTGATCTTATAACAGGAAGGTAATGAACCAAAAGGAGGACAGAAGTGATTACATAAAAGGAAGACCTTCTTTAGGTCAAAACATTTTATCAACCTTGTTAAAAGACAAACTCAGAGAAGCTATTTAGCAGTGAATTTTAACTGTGATTGTCAAAATAATTTAAATGCCAAAAATGGAAAACTCTGAAATTTTACTTCTGATTTTTATCTACTTTGTGAAAATGTATGTGTAGGTGAGGGAAGTAATAAACTGTCATATGTGGTTGTAATGTACAATATTTCCTATTTTAAACTTAAGGAAATAATGTAAAAAATTTCCTTAGTTTCAAAAATGTCTTTCTTTGATGGGAGAATGTGTCTTTGTGTAAATAAAACATGGCCCTCTTCAAGAATCCCGGCTCTGCGGCCGGTCGTCACCAGCACTCAAAAGACAGCTCCTGACCGCGGTGGCCCAGAAGCAGGTGGGGGTGGATCGTTCTGACCTCGGCTGTGTTCTTCCATCCAGTCAGGGCAGTTCAGCGAGGACATGATACCCACAGTGGGCTTCAACATGAGGAAGGTGACCAAAGGCAACGTCACGATAAAGGTACGTGATCCTCTCGCTGTGCTGGCGTTGCAGCTCAGAATTTCTCTCTGGGTTTGCATGAGTGTTTGCCGTTCCTAGCTGACGAGTGGCCTGCTCCAAGAGTGTGGATCTGTTGTGGGGTTTTCTCTAAGAGTTCAATGGTAAGTGCACATAGAAAACTTAGCACATGAGTTGGCAGGGGTAATTATTTGGGATTTGGATGGTCCTAGGAATAAAAATCTCATTTTCAGAGTATTTGGAATGTGATATTACATTACTTCATGAAAAATTATAATTTATTATTTATAATATTGGTAATATAGTGGTAGCAAATATGGTTACCTAGTTTTCCCCTTCTTTACTTTTCTAAGCCTTAAAATTAAAACTATAAAATGGGGAAAGTTTACTAATTTAACATAATTTTTTTTTACAATGAGTTTGAATCATGAATTGTTGGCCTGTTTAATAGAGGCCATATTTCAGTTTTGTTTTGGGATGTCTGTCTGATTTGGTTTGGTTCAGTAGTTCATGGGAGTTTACGTCTATGGCCTGGGCCCTCATGGCTGTTTCACCAGTTCTTACGGCTCACAGAAACTGTTTACTAAGTTCTTCATGTAGCATCTAATGAAACTCCTGCCTTTTCATGTGTATGTCTCTTTATGCATGTTACCAGTGCTTGTTGCTAAATTGGAAGCTTTTTAAAGATAAATACCATGACGTAGACTTTTATGTAACCCATCGTCTGGAATAGTAGATACAATAATGAAATTATTGGCTTTCATATGGATGAAACAATTGTATATAAGAAAAACACCTAGGTAGGAATGCTGGGTATGTTGGTTAGAGAATAATTAAAATTGATTAGGCATTAATGTACAGATCCAGTGAGACAGTTACTCTGTAATACGTTCTGAATGAACCTTTTTCTGTCTTGGCATTGAAATCTGGATGATGCATGATTCTGGAGATTCTGAAAGTGTATATTAAAGGTATATATAGTATCCTCCTTATCTGCTGTTTCAGTTACCCACGGTCAACCACAGTCTGAAAACAGTAAATGGAAAATCCCAGAAATAAACAGTCATAAGCTTCAAATTGTGCGCTATTCTGATAAAGTATTGTGCCATCCCACTCTGTCCCACCCAGGGCATGAGTTGTCCCTTTGTTAGGCATATCCACACTGTGTATATGCTACCCACCCCTTGGTCACTTACAATTGTTCTATTATCATTTGTTGTTGATAATCTCTTAGTCTGCCTAATCTATAAATTACACTTTATAATTGTTATAATTATTTTATTTTATTATCATTTGTTGTTGTTAATCTCTTACTATGCCTAATCTATAAATTACACTTCATCATAAGTATGTATGTTTTGGTAAAAAGGGTATATATAGGGTTTTGATATTGTCTGCGGTTTCAAGCATCCTGTGCGGGGGAATCTTGGAACATATTCCCTGCAGATATGGGAGGACTACTGTATTTTCAGTATTGGAAATTTATTGGTAAACAGGCAAAAAAAAGTATTGCACAGAAAACTAAATCTTTGCTTAAGCAGAACTGATTGGATTTAGTGTAAACATTCAATATGCACTTCAAGTTTAGAAGTGGCCCCAGGAAATTCCAGATTAAGAGCTTGAGTTCAAGTACTTCAGGAGGGATGTGGCTCATTGTGAAAACGAGTGTATTTGTCTGCTCTTTCTCCTTCAGCATGTTGTTTGCAATGTCAGTATTGAGGGTCGTCTGTCTCTGTTGCAGATCTGGGACATAGGAGGGCAGCCTCGGTTCCGGAGCATGTGGGAGCGGTACTGCAGAGGGGTCAACGCCATTGTGTGAGCACGCTCTAAAAAGCCAGCTTAGGTTTCGAGGAAAAGGGATGTTTGTGATACCACTTTCAAAGGCTCAGTTTTTATTTTCAGCAGTAACAGTCTTTCTTAGATGTTTTCTTAGTGTAATTCATTAACATGAGACTTTAAATATTTAATCATAGAATGAGAGTTTTATTTATGTTTTAATATAAATATGTTACTATCGTGTATTAGCTCCCAAGAACAGTCTCTTTAAAAGTATTTTGGGATGTTGATGCCTGACTGGTGTGGCTCAGTGGTTGAGCGTTGACCCATGCACCAAGAGGTCGCCAGTTCGATTCCTGGTCAGGGCACATGCCCAGGGTGAGAGAGAACTTTGACTACTGCCTCCTGCACGCCCCCTACTGGGGATTTGGCCCACAACCTGGGCATGTGCCCTGGGAATCGAACCGGCGACCTCTTGGTACAGGGTCGATGCTCAACCACTGAGCCACACCGGCCGGGCTGGTTTTGTTTTTTAGAGAAGGGGGGGGCAGGAGAAGAAAGAAACGTAGATGTGAGAGACATTGGTTGGTGGCCTCCCACAGGAACCCACTGGGACCAAACCTGCAATCAGGTACGTGCCCTGACTGGGGCTCGAACCCGAGACCCTCTGTGTGTAGGTGACACTAACCACACCTGCCAGGGCTAGGGCTTTATTTTGATTAACAATTTCAGTTGTGTAAATCTTAAAATTAAACATTTGTAGTATTAATTGTGATCATCAAAGAATATGGCATATTGAGATCACTTTGTGTGTTTTTTTAAGTTACATGATAGATGCTGCAGATCGCGAAAAGATAGAAGCCTCGAGAAATGAACTACATAATCTTCTAGATAAACCACAGTTACAAGGAATTCCAGTAAGTATGGAGTACTTGTTATACATTGCATATAATATCTATCATCGTCATTATATTAATAGAATTATATGATATTGTGCAACTATGTTCATCATGGTTGGTGTCAGTGAAGTACTCTCTGTGTTAAAGTCCGGAAGGCTTAGGTATACTGAGCACCTGCCCTGTCCTGGGCACTGTGCTCTTTCTTTCCTTCAGTCGTTCACTGAAACGATGTGCAGCGGGGCCGCGCGCAGTCCTGGGCGGTGGGGACCTCGGCCTGGGGAGCTCTCCCTGCCGCCGTGGCGCCTGCGGTCCAGCAGGAAGGCAGATGCCACGGAATCATTGACCAGCAGTTTTGATTAGTGCTGCGCAGGCGAGGTGCATGGGCTGTGAGAGTTATAAATTAGAGAGGAGATCTGGTCTGTTGTGAGGGAGGTGATGCTTGGAGGGAGAGTTCCAGACAAAAACCTTTTGGTAGGAGGAAGTGGGGCCTGGAGAGGAGGCCAGGCTCTGGAGCACAGGGCAGAGGGGCCTGGGTGGGGTGTGGTGAGCCATGTGGCAGTGGGGACACTGTGGGAGGCTTGTGAGCTGGACTGGGTGGGAAGCCATTTTAGTATTTTAAATGATCAGATTTATTATTTAAATCCTTCTGATTTCAGTTTAAGAATGGATTGAGGTGCCCTGGCCGGTTTGGCTCGGCGGTTAGAGGGTCGGCCTGAGGTCCAGAGAGACCCGGGTTCGGTTCCCGCTAAGGGCATGTACCTGGGTTGCAGTTTGTCCCCGGCCCAGGTTGGTCGTGCAGGAGGCAATCACTCAATGTCTCCCTTTCACATCGATATTTCTCTCTCCTTTCCTCTCTCTTCCTCCATTTTACCTTGGCACTCTGTCTGAACAAAAAATGGAAGAATGTCCTGGGAGAGGATAAGAAAGGGAGACTGCATTGAGACGGCAGGCGGGGCTGTGAGGGGCAGTGTTGGGGAGCCGATAGAACTGTCCTGCAAATTACCGCGCCGTAGATTGGGTGCTACACAAGATGGTGAAATGGGAACCGATCTTAGTGATGCTCAGAAACAGCCAGTCAGACTTAGCATGGATCGGAGTGGAAGGCACAGAGAATAATGCCCCGTTCCCTGCTGATGTGGTCGGGCGAGAGGTGGCCATGGTTGGACTAAGGAGTGCTTACAGAGGACCAGGCTCTAGCCTCATGGCAGGTTTGTGGGTGTAGGTACTTGAGGGAAATCGCTCAGTTGGCCCTCACCGCACTGAGGGCCGTGGGGTACTCCTCCCTTGTAACAGCTGTTAGACCCTCAGGGTAACAGGCCACAAGTATGCTGCACAGCCGAGTTTGAACCCTTGTCTGACCTTACAGCCTTCTCTTTTTCTTCTACATTAAAAACTATTTTTACTTACCATAAGTAAAAATCATTGTACCTTGGCACTGTGAGGGTTCCTACCTACAAGTAGTAGAAAGTTGATGCCCCTTTCCTATCAGAATGGGTTTTCTCTTCCTGCTTTCCTGCACCACTGGCTCTTTAGACTGGGTTGAGCCTAGACTGTGTCCATGCTCTAGCACAGTGGTTCTCAACCTTCCTGATGCTGCGACCCTTTAATACAGTTCCTCATGTTGTGGTGACCCCCAACCATAGAATTATTTTTGTTGCTACTTCATAACTGTAATTTTGCTACTGTTATGTCTTAGGCGACCCCCAAAGGGGTCACAACCCACAGCTTGAGAACCGTTGCTCTAGCAGAAAGGAAGGGTGGGAAAGAAATTATCTACAGAAACAAGTAGCTTTATTGGGAGGCACGTTCATAAGGTGAGAGATTTACCAAATGTAAGAAGAGGGCTAAGATGCCAGGCAACTGATCACAGATGACCATGATGTAGTATTAGAAACTCAGGCAGGTCCAGCTTGAGAACCTGGAGTGACTTCAGTAAGAGGAAGGAGAAGGTAAGAGTCGGGCCTGAAAGGCAGGACATAGCAACTCTATCTAATACATAGAAACAAACACAGGGAAGCAGCCAAAATGAGGAGACAAAGAAACATGTCTCAAGTGAAAGAACAGAACAAAAGTCCAGGAAGAGAACAAAACAAAATGGAGATAAGCAATCAATGAGATGCAGAGTTCAAAACTGTGGTTATAAAGGATGTGCAAGGAACTTAGTGAGAACTTCAAGGAACTTAAGAACTCCAGGGAACTTAGTGAGAACATCAACAACATAAAAAAGGACCAGTCAGAAATGAAGGATGTACTAACTGAAAAAAAGAATAATTTACAAGGAATCAGTAGTAGAGTAGGGGAAGCCAAGAAGGAAACCATCGATTTGGAATATAAGGAAGCAAAAAACACCCAATCAGGATAGCAAAAAGAAAAAAGAATCCAAAAAAACAAGAACAGGGTAAGGAACCTCTGAGACAACTTCAAGTGTACCAATATTCGCATCATGGGGGTGCCAGAAGGAGAAAGAGAGCAAGAAATTGAAAACCTATTTGAAAAAATAATGACAGAAAACTTCCCTAACTTGGTGAAAGAAACAGATATACAAGTCCAGAAAGCACAGAGTTCCAAACAAGAGGCCCACACTAAGACACATCATCATCAAAATGCCAAAGGTTAAAGACAAAGATAGAATCTTTTTTTTTTTTTCACATTAATGGAAAATTTATTGCATCAGAAAGAAAATGAATTCCCATATACTATGAACTTCATTCAGTAAAATTAATTGAAGAAACTAATTACTCAAAAACAAAGAATGGCCTTTGGGGAACTCCACTGCCTACAAGGATTTAATGGTCAAAGCTTGTCTGGATTATTATCATGAATTAAAGTAATGAGAGGATGAAGACATTGTTAACAGAAGAGAAGCTGTCCTGAAACGCTAACATTGCCATTTCGGCCAGATGACGAGAAATCAGTGTCCAGGTAAAACGTCCAGCTCGAGCTCTTCCAGAGAAGAATTGCCCGTATTTACGGGGTAGCTTGTCCCAGAGCAGACGCTTGTGTTACTCAGGAACCAGCCAGGTTCCAGTCTCTAAGTTTTTCTCTCCAGTCTCCAGTTCAGGTGCTGGCGCTAATTAGTCCAACCTTCTTGGGTTTAGGAACCCCTTCTCCACACTTGCCTAGAACAGATGTCAGGCAGGCTCAGCTGAGTACCCTGCTTAGGGTCTCAGAAGGCCAAAATCAAGGGGTCAGCTGGTCTGGGCCCTCCTCTGGACACTGGGGCGGAATCCATTTCTAGGCCCATGAGGTTGTTAGCAAAATTCAGTTCTCTGTAGTTATAGGGCTGAGGCCCTCATTTCTTGGCTGGCCTTTAGTCAGTCTCCTAGTTTCTCGAGGCAGTCTAGTTTGCTCTGCTCACGTCCCCAGAACCTGTAGATCAGCGGAATGCTGCACTCCCCTGCCTCCGGACCTCTGGCTGCCCCCACCTCCCCAAAGATAGAACCTTAAAAGCAGAAAGAGAAAAGCAATTAGTTACCTACAAAGGAGCTATCATACCATAAGACTGTCAGTCGATTGCTCTAAAGAAACTGCAGGCCAGAAAGGAGTGGGAAGAGATACTCAAAGTTATGAAAAGCAAGAACCTACAACCAAGATTACTCTGTCCTGCAAAGCTATGATTTAGAATCAATGGCTATAAAAGAGTTTCCCAGACAAGAAAAAGCTAAAGGAGTTCATCACCACCAACCCAGTATTATGAAATGTTGAAGGGTTTTCTTGAAGGAGAACAAAAATATGAACAGTAAAATGGCAGTAAAGACATATCTATCAACAATTGAATCTACAAACAAAATGTGAACAAGCAGAATAGAAACAGACTTATAGATACAGAGAACTTTTTGTTGCTTGTCAGATGGAAGGGGGTTGGGGGATGGTGATAAAGGTGAAGGAGTTAAGCACAAATTGTTTTTAGACTGATAAACCTCAAAGGAATGGGGGAGGGGAGGGCAAGAAGAGAGAAACCGAAGAACTTCTATGCATATGTGCATAACCAGTGGACACAAACAGTAGTGTGGGGAAAGGGATTGGGGAGGGGGTCAGTGTAATACATTCGACAATAAAGGTAAGTTAAAAAAAAGAAATAGAATGCACACCACAGACTGAGAGTAGTTTAAGTCGGAATTGGGGCCATGTATTAAATAAAGGCATCTACATGGTGTAAGTCGAAACGAATACTAATCTGAATGATTAATGAGTGAGATAGGCCGCCAGTTACACAAAAATGCTTTACTATTATGGCGGGTGGCAACATTCTCTCTGTACCCGCAGGCCGACGCTCCAACCGCTGAGCCAAACCGGCCAGGGCAACATTCTCATTTCAGCATCTACATGGATGATACGATACATAGGATGTGCTTCTGTGACATTTTCTTATGTTACATTTACTCTCAATTTATTTTCTTTTTAAAGGTGCTAGTCCTTGGAAACAAGAGAGATCTTCCTAATGCCTTGGATGAGAAACAGCTCATTGAAAAAATGTAGGTCTTAAGAATGAATGATGGCGTTTTCGTTTTTTTAGATAGGTTCTAAATGCACTGTTTTGCCCACCACTTATTTAGCATCATTGCATTATTCAGTGATGATCTAGCCATGCTTTTAAGTAGATAAACTTGGCCTACAGAGAAGTGAATCCCTAACATTTTAGTAAAATAATGTCTTCTGCTTGGTAATAAAAGAACAAGTAAAATTGAGCAAAGAGTGATTAACTATGACAGCTGTTATAAGTACCGACTTATTTTCTTAACTCTGCTTCTTATAGGAACCTGTCTGCTATTCAGGATAGAGAAATTTGCTGCTATTCAATTTCTTGCAAAGAAAAGGATAATATAGGTAAGAAATGACAGGTGTTTTCAGAAGAATGGGTACCCCCTGGAAGGGGTATCTAATGATATTTCTGTCTGTTGTCCCCTTTCTGTTTAAGTGACTTCCTTTATGGAGTACTGTTGCTTTGACTCAGGAAAGAGGTGGATGTTATGCCTTTGATGACAAATGTCACATGCTGGGTCTGTTCTGCACTATTTAAAGAAGTAGATGCAGTAGAGACATGAAGTTAAACAAATGGGGTATCGATTTATTGTGTTAATTTTCACAGAACTAGTATTTAGCTGTGCTTTATAACAATGGCAATTATAATAATTCTTGAAATAAGACTTTACAAAAATTGCTCCATAGGCACTAAAACATTTGTTCATTTATGAAATCAGTATATTACTGCAGTATGTTATCACTCCATCAGAGTTATGAACCCAAAATACCCTTAATCTACATAATGTCTGTACTGATTTCCTAGGCCTGCCATAGCAAAGCACCACAAGCTGGGTGGCTGAAACAAACTCATTCTTTCAAGTTCAGGATGCTAGATGTCTGAAATCCAGGAGTGGGCAGGGCAGGGCAGGGCGTGCTCTCTGAAGGCTCGGGGTGGACCCTGGCCTTCCTAGCTGTGGTGGCTGCCAGCAGTCCTTGGCGCTCCTGGGCTTATAGAAGCATCACAAGTTTCTGCCTCGGCGTCCTGTGTTCCTGTGTGTCTGTTTCCTCTTCTTATAAGGACACATGTCATTGGATTAGAGCCCACCATAATCAGTGTGACCTCATTTTAACTAATTACATCTGCAAAGACCCTGTATCCAAATAAATCCTGAGGTTCCAGGTGGATGTGAATTTTTAGGGGGCACTGTTCAATCCAGAGTCCTAAAGAATAAGTATGGCCCTGGCCGGTTTGGTTCAGTGGTTGGAGCATTGGCACTCCCACTGAAGGGCTGCAGGTTCCATCCACGCCCCAGGTGGGGTCATGTGGGAGGCAGCAAATGAATGTGTCTCTCACATCTCTCTCTCCCAGTTCCTCCTCCTCCCTCCCTCCCTTCCTCCCCCCCCACTTCCTCCTCCTCCCTCCCTCCCTTCCTCCCCCCCCACTTCCTCCTCCTCCCTCCCTCCCTTCCTCCCCCCCACTTCCTCCTCCTCCCTCCCTCCCTTCCTCCCCCCCCACTTCCTCCTCCTCCCTCCCTCCCTTCCTCCCCCCCCACTTCCTCCTCCTCCCTCCCTCCCTTCCTCCCCCCGCCACTTCCTCCTCCTCCCTCCCTCCCTTCCACTCTATCTCAAAGTTAATGGAAAAGTATCCTCGGGTGAGGATTAACAAATAAATATGTATGGCTCAATTTTCATCTCTCAGCTAGTTAGTGAGATATTATTTAATAAACAAAAGTTCATTCAAATAAATGCCAAAATAGTGTGTTTTAAAGATATTCTGGCCCTGGCTGGTTTGGCTCAGCGGTTAGAGCGTTGCCCCACGGACCGAAGAGGAGCACGTTCAACTCAGGTCAAAAGCACATACCTAGGTTGCGGTTCTGTCCTGGCCCTGGTTGGAGTCGTGGGAGGCAACCAACCAACCAATGTGTCTATCTCATATTGATCTTCCTTTCTCTCTCTCCTCCTTCCCCTCCCCCTCTATCTGAAAATAAATGGAAAGATATCCTAGGGTGAGGATTAAAAAAACAAACGTGGCCCTGGCCGGTGTGGCTCCGTGGTTGAGCATCGACCCAGGCACCAAGAGGTCGCCAGTTTGATTCCCTGTCAGGGCACATGCCCAGGTTGTGGGCCCGATCTCCAGTGAGGGGCATGCAGGAGGCGGCTAGTCGACGTTCTCTCTCCCTCTCCCTTCCTCTCTCTGAAATCAATAAAGAAAAAAAAAAGACTACCCAAAGCAGGCTGAGCCCAGTACTTACGTTGTGCCTCCAAGAGAGCGTTTACTTCCACGCAGTGCTGCTTAGAAAGAGTTCCCCCAGGACACAGCTGGCATGTCTGGAGACATTTCGGGTTGTCATGAGAAGGGTGATTCTGACATCTAGTGGCAGAGACCAGGGACAGACACACTGCTCTAAACAGAACCTGCAGCAGAGCGCTGTCGGGCCAAAAGCCAGCAGTGGTGCAGCGGAGACACCCTGTTCTGCGCTCGCCCCAGCTCCCAGGACGGTGTGCTCGTCTGTGAATCCGTCACGCCCCACGTTAACTAGTTCAAGACTCGTAAAACAGTTTCTGAAATGAGAGAAAATATTCTTTGTTTTACCAACCACGACAAACAAGCCAGATATTTCCTGAGGGGGAAACCTCTCTGGGGCTAGTCTATGAAGCAGAGGTGAGAACTTGTGTAGTTTGCTTGCAGCTCCAGGGCCCGCAGGTGTGGGGCTGGGACTCCTGGTTCACGTGGAAGAGTCCAGTCCCAGGAAACCGCCCCGAACTAGGTTACACGCGCAGTCTGTAAACCAGATGCCTGCTTATCGAAACAAGAAATGCGGTAACAGCCAAAGTATTCATGTCAAAGCATCCTCCGTAATTTCAGCTTTTATAACAAATTTTAGTGTCAAATTTATCAGTTTACTAAATTGCTCCAAAAAGTGTGCATGGGTCATACATTATACTTCCCGCTTCCTGGTGCGGTGCAGGAAGTGCTTTGGTTTCCTTGGCGGTGTGTCCTCGACCACACAGAACAGATTGCTTCCAGGAGGGTGAGTGATCTTTGCAAAGATGGCTCACACTGTGGCCCCTTTTGTCATGAAAGATGACAATCTTTTTTTTAATCCTCACCTGTGGATATGTTTCCATTGATTTTAGAGAAAAGGGGGACAGACATCAGTGTGAGAGGGAAACATCAGTTGGTTGCCTCCCATATGCACCTCAACCAGGGATCGAACCCACAACCTAGGTGTGTACCCTGACTGAGACTGGAACTGGGACCTCTCAGTCCATGGGATGGCGCTCAGTCCACCGAGCCACCCCGGCCGGGCATGTCATTGTTGCGTTCTACATGCACCTCAGACGCCACCTGCAACAGCTGAAGTCTCCTGGTTTTTCAAGGCTATTCTTCCTTTCGTCACCGTGTCACTCAATAGCTCTGTGACTCTCATTCAGGCCAGAGGATTCTTTCTCACCCACTACATGTTAATCGGTCACCAACACCTGTCATACTACATCTTAATCACGCTTCCCATTTGCTGCCTCTCCATCCCCACGCCTTGGCTTGCTTGGGCCTTGGTGGCTCTCCATGGACGGTCTCTGTGCTGGCAGCCCTCCAAGCTGTCCTTTGGTTTTTTGTTGTTGTTTTTTTTTTTTATCCTCACCCGAGGACATTTTTCCATTTTTTGTTCAGATAGAGTGGGAGGGGGAGAGAGGAACAGAGAGAGAGAGAGAAACATTGACATGAAAGGGACACATCGAGTGGCTGACCCACACGACCGACCAGGGCTGGGGACAAACTGCAGCCGAGGTACATGCCCTTAGCGGGAACCGAACCCGGGTCTCTCAGGACCGCAGGCCGACACTCTCACCGCTGAGCCAAACCGGCCAGGGCCAAGCTGTCCTTTGACTGTGCTCAGTAAACCAGTACAGTTTCCCTGTTTATATTCCAGTAACTGTCCTTGGACTTGAGAATAAATTCTTAGAGTGCATACAAGGTTATCTAGCTCCCTTTAGCCCTACAGTTCTCACCTGAGAACAGTTTTGCTCCTGGGGGGACATTTGGCAGTGTCTGGAGATGTTAGTAGTTGTCACACTGGGCAGGTGATGGTGATAACAGCATCTAGTGGTAGAGGTCATGGATGCTGCAAAATATTCTGCTGTGCACAGGAAAGAGCTTCCCTTCCTCCCAGCAAAGAGTTAACCAGCCAAATGTCAGAATGTGGAGAAGCCCTGCTCCCCCTCCCCCGCCCCACGGCAGCCGCTGCTTATCACTTACACTCCACCCAGAGCCCCACGCTGTTTCTTTTGCCTGGCATTCTGTGGGGCAGCCCCCACCCCAGATGATTGCTGGTGTGTTTTCCGACTGCAATCCTAAAAGCTCCTCGAGGCCCAAGAGGGCTTCGCCCTGTCTGCAGCCTGGCACTCCCCTGCGCTTCCTGCCCCGCAGTGGCTTCCGGAGGAGTGGGAGACGCAGCTGTTCCTTGCACAGCGTCACGTTTGTTTATGTATTATTCATTTATTATGAATGTCCTCACCTGAGGGTATTGGGAGAGGGAGAGGGGGAATCATTGATGTGAGAGAGAGATCGATTGGTTGCCTCCCACATGACACTGACCAGGGTCGGGGATCGAACCGCAACTGAGGTATATGTCCTTGTCTGGAATTGAACCTGAGACTCTTTGGTCCTGAAGTCGACACTCTAACAGCTGAGTCAAGCCAGCCCATAGTTTCACTTTTATTGATTTTTTTTTTTTTTTTATCCTCACCCGAGGATATTTTTCCATATTTTGTACAGATAGAGTGGGAGGGAGAGAGAGGAAGGGAGAGAGAGAGAGAAACATCGACATGAAGGGACACATCGAGTGGCTGCCACCCGCACGACCCAACCAGGGCCGGGGACAAACTGCAACCGAAGTACGTGCCCTTAGCGGGAACCGAACCCCGGTCTCTCGGGACCACAGGCCGACGCTCTAACCGCTGAGCCAAACCGGCCAGGGCGATAGTTTCACTTTTAAATCAGACTCTGTTCTCATGATGCCTCCGATGGTCTTAAGGGCGAGGTAACAGGAACGACAATGTAGGTGCAGAAAAGCAGAGGACAGGTCCCAGCACTTGTGCTTTGAATTAGCTGCATTGTACATAGTCTCTCTGCTGCTTAGTTTCTTAGCTTTGGTGTCCTAATGCCTGTTTTTCCCTCTGTCTTTAGATATCACACTTCAGTGGCTTATTCAACATTCAAAATCTAGAAGAAGCTGAAAAGCTGAAGTCTTCCGGTCCTTCCTGGCTATACTCCTAGAATTACTGTCCGTTCCTCTGAAGTACTTCCCAGAATACGGTCCTTCCTAAACCCAAGAAATTGCCTTTTTCCGAGTTTCTTTCTCATGTGCACTGCTGAAGATGTGTAACCCTATCCTTCATAAAGATCCAATAGAGTTGTCATGACACAGTCAGCACACAGAAAGGCTTCTTACACATCCTTGTCTTAATGTGTGTAGAGCTTTTTAAAAAAACAACAACATACTTTTGACCATCTTCAACCAAGAAAATTGCATATTTCTGTCCTGGTCTTTCTGGGCCAGATTTTTATATTGGTTTTCAGTAAATGTCTATCTATGGTATTTCGTTTAGAGTCTAGTAGCTTAGCACTGATACTGACTTGATGCAGCATGACGTTTCTATTTGCCACCCACAGTATTTAGAAAACCTTTAGCCTGACTCGCGTGGGGCATAAACTGACGTTACATGTCCCACACATGCATGTGAAATGTGTAACTGCACCTTCGGAGTTTGAAAATGGCCTGCAGAGGTGAGCAGAGGTACCGGTGACTGCTGCGATTGGTCTTCACACTGGGGAGGTCGTGCGGGACGGGTTTCCAAGCCCCCGCTCTCAGAATGCGTCACCAGAGAGCAGCTGGGCACACGGGAGGAGCTGAGGAGTGCTGTTTTCTGTCTGTCCGCATCATACTTCTCTCTTTTTTTTAGCTGGTTCAACACTTTTTTAAGGGGTTGGGAATTGAAGATTTTCTCAAACGCTTTCATGAATTTAGAGCATTCCGGCCAATATAATAAAACATGTTAAGAATGTCAGATTTTGTTCTTTCTATCTCCAGTCATTGTGTCAGTATCCTGACTTTTTATATCCAGCCATAAAGTTGACTTTCAGCACAATGGATACTTATAAACAAAAAATTCCTATTTTTTTCTCTAATTGACGATGTAAGGCTTGGCACGCTTTTGCCTGGTGCCATTAGACATCTTGATTATTGTGACAACTCTGCACCTGCCTGCTTTATCTAACATAATCATGCAGAATGTCTGCAGGTGGTTGACCAGTCGTTCACAGAACTGAGGACCTGAGGCTGGCCACTGTCGGCTCTGTGTCACGGAGATGAAGACTTAAGATGACCCTGTTTGGCAGTGTAGTGATCTCCACACCCACAAAGGGATGCGTTCCTGCTGGTCCACGTGGGCCTCGTGGTTCCCACGCCACTGCCGTGGATGGAACGGGCTCGCCTGCTTCCGGGGTCCTCACTGGGAAGCAGCGCTCGTGGGGCTGCGTGTCCACGTGTGCCGAGACTCGGTCCCTTTACTGACACCAGCTCTAGTCTCTAGACGCCGTGGCCTTCCCCGGGTTCTGTGCGAAGTGCTGCCTGTGTCGCACGGACACTACTGGTTTTTCTCCAGCCACATTTTTATGAATAGAAACTCTCGGCTTTTAGAATTCTGTTCTGTACTCTCTGAAGCATGTTGCATACTCCCTGATGGGTGGACGGTTCTGTGAATCAAGGGGTAGTTAAACTTGCTGCTGTAGTTCAACACCATGGATGGTCGCTGTGAACCATCACAAAGAATGTGGCGATTTGCTTGTGCCTAACAGGAGGACTCGGAACTGGGATGTGTGACTCTGGGGGCCGCAAAGGTCCGCAGCCTGACCTGTAGCTAAACCTTAGTGTGTCTGTGTCTCTTCTCCGCTTTCAGCGTCTCAAGACCCAGACACCACCCACATCTTCCTGTGCGTTAACCTCTGCATGTGAAACATCACCTACTGAACTCTGTAAATACGTGAATTTTTTATTTAGGTGGATGCTTTTTTCGTCTGTTTACTGCTCTTCTCAGCTTTATTCAATAAACTTGCATTTTGAGGGTTGTATCGATGATTTTAACTTAAACTGTGTCCTGGTGGGAGGTGCCGACCTGGGGGGAGGGGATGGAAAGACAGTCCCTGTGAGCAGGGTCCGCAGACGTGTGCAGAGAAGCAGCCAGCTGAGCTCAAAGAACTGGCCTGTGGGCTGCAGAAGAAATAAACTGGTAAATAGCCACATGAGTGAGGTTGTGATTTTTTTTCAGGGTGGGTGCAGAAGATGCTCATACTTGTGAATCGCCGTGATGTGCCAAACTTAGGACTTTCAAAGTGGCAAGAGCTAGTTAATTATTTTATAACCCAGTTTTAAAAATCATAACAAAATTATTAGTAAGCTGAAATTGCAAGACATAGCTACTTTAATTCCAGAATGAAAAGATTTAAGTATTAAGCCCGGCTGGTGTAGTTCAGTGGTTGAGCGTGAGCCATGTACCAAGAGGTCACCGGTTCAATTCCCAGTGAGGGCACGTGCCCAGATTGTGGGCCTGATCCCCCATGGGGGGCATGCAGGAGGCGGCCCATGGATGTTCGCTCTCATCGGTGTTTCTCTCCCTCTTCCTCTCTAAAATCAAAAAGTTTTTTAATTGAGACTTCTAAATCCGTCCCTTGGATTCTGTCAAGTGAATTGGTTGCACTGGACTGGGGCCGCTTGAGGGCGCTCGTCCTCACGGAGGCACGGCCGCCTTCCGCATGCCCTCCCCGCCTCGGCAGCTCAGCGCCTGGGTATGGCGGAGGGAGACGGGGAGCGGGGAAGGCCGGTGCCTGCAGGAGGAGACGGGGAGCGGGGGGAGGCCAGTGCCTGCAGGAGGAGACGGGGAGCGGGGGGAGGCCAGTGCCTGCAGGAGGAGACGGGGAGCGGGGGGAGGCCAGTGCCTGCAGGGGGAGACGGGGAGCGGGGGGAGGCCAGTGCCTGCAGGAGGAGACGGGGAGCGGGGGGAGGCCAGTGCCTGCAGGGGGAGACGGGGAGCGGGGGGAGGCCAGTGCCTGCAGGAGGAGACGGGGAGCGGGGGGAGGCCAGTGCCTGCAGGGGGAGACGGGGAGCGGGGAAGGCCGGTGCCTGCAGGGGGAGAGGGGGAGCGGGGAGGCCAGTGCCTGCAGGGGGAGACGGGGAGCGGGGAAGGCCGGTGCCTGCAGGGGGAGACGGGGAGCGGGGAAGGCCGGTGCCTGCAGGAGGAGACGGGGAGCGGGGAAGGCCGGTGCCTGCAGGGGGAGAGGGGGAGCGGGGAGGCCAGTGCCTGCAGGAGGAGACGGGGAGCGGGGGGAGGCCAGTGCCTGCAGGAGGAGACGGGGAGCGGGGGGAGGCCAGTGCCTGCAGGGGGAGACGGGGAGCGGGGGGAGGCCAGTGCCTGCAGGAGGAGACGGGGAGCGGGGGGAGGCCAGTGCCTGCAGGGGGAGACGGGGAGCGGGGAAGGCCAGTGCCTGCAGGGGGAGACGGGGAGCGGGGAAGGCCGGTGCCTGCAGGAGGAGACGGGGAGCGGGTGAAGGCCGGTGCTGCAGGGGGAGACGGGGAGCGGGGAAGGCCGGTGCCTGCAGGAGGAGACGGGGGAGCGGGGGAAGGCCAGTGCCTGCAGGAGGAGACGGGGAGCGGGGGGAGGCCAGTGCCTGCAGGGGGAGACGGGGAGCGGGGGAAGGCCAGTGCCTGCAGGAGGAGACGGGGGAGCGGGGGAAGGCCAGTGCCTGCAGGAGGAGACGGGGAGCGGGGGGAGGCCAGTGCCTGCAGGGGGAGACGGGGAGCGGGGGAAGGCCAGTGCCTGCAGGAGGAGACGGGGGAGCGGGGGAAGGCCAGTGCCTGCAGGAGGAGACGGGGGAGCGGGGGAAGGCCAGTGCCTGCAGGAGGAGACGGGGAGCGGGGGGAGGCCAGTGCCTGCAGGGGGAGACGGGGAGCGGGGGAAGGCCAGTGCCTGCAGGAGGAGACGGGGAGCGGGGGGAGGCCAGTACCTGCAGGGGGAGACGGGGAGCGGGGAAGGCCGGTGCTGCAGGAGGAGACGGGGAGCGGGGAAGGCCGGTGCCTGCAGGGGGAGACGGGGAGCGGGGAAGGCCGGTGCCTGCAGGGGGAGACGGGGAGCGGGGAAGGCCGGTGCCTGCAGGAGGAGACGGGGAGCGGGGAAGGCCAGTGCCTGCAGGAGGAGACGGGGAGCGGGGAAGGCCAGTGCCTGCAGCCAGCACGGCGCCGCGCCATCCAGCTGCCCGAGGGATGCACCTGAACCGGGCTGCTGCAGGGAAACCACCCTGTGCAGAATTGGAAATATTTTTATTTGGTTGCAGACTTGGAAGGCGGTGCCCACAACAACGTGCATCGGGGAAGATACGTGAAGAGGAAGTGAGGCCAGCTCCAGCCTGGCCGACTTCCCGGCTGCGTGCCCCCCCAGATGTGCGCCCGGCCCGCTGCAGGTGTTTCCTGTTGATCAGTAAACACCCTCTGCGCGGCTTCTCTCTAACCTTCCGCGGGTCAGCAAACCGGGCTTGTGCGCCGGCTGCGGCTGGACGCTCCGAGGGAAGGGACGCGGGCCAGCGGCTCTGGGAGGGAGCGGGGGCTCTGCTCGAGCAGCGGCCGCTCCAGCAGCTGTCGGAATCCCAGAGCAGCGCGGGTTTGGGTAGCTCAGATTTCCCAGCAGGGGAGCAGGGACGGTCCTCCAGCCTCGTTTTCACTGGGGCGTCCCTAAGAGGAAGGGATGTGGAAGGGAAAGAAGTGTCGCTTGAAATGAGAGAATGTTTCTCCGCGGTTACTGGTTGTGTGACTTGCGAATTGCTGAGCCCCCCTCTGGCTCCGCAGTCTTCCAGGCTGTGAAGTGACACCCTGGTTTCCAATGCAAGTTCTTCCCCGATGGGCTGCGTTCCAGCCGCCTAGAGATGTGCACGATGGTGAATGAGGAGCCGAAAGCACCTACTTATCCTGGTCAATACGTTGTTGCTTGTTTCTTCCACACGAAAATAACCCGAAACAAAAGTTTACATTTTATAACTTCACGGTTTAACGTAAGGTCTGGAGATCACAGACTTTTTGCAAAATGATGCAATAACATTTTGTTTGAAGAAAATGCTATAAACACGGCTTATATTTTGAAAGCCATTTTTAAAAATCTTTTTATTTATGTTTATTGATGTTAGAGAGGAAGTCTGTTTCTCCCAGACTGCAGAAACATCAATGAGAGAGAACTTCCACTGGCCGCCTCCTACATGCCCCCCCTGGGGATCAGGTCCACAACCTGGGCATGTGCCTGGACCAGGAATTGAACTGGTGACCTCTTGGTGCAGGGTTGACGCCCAACCACTGAGCCACAGTGGCCGGGCGCCATTTAAAAATTTTAAAGCCCTGGCCAGTTTGGCTCAGCGGTTAGAGCATTGGCCCACGGACCAGAGAGTCCCGGGTTCAGTTCCAGCTAAGGGCACGTACCTCGGTTGCAGTTTGTCCCCAGCCCCAGTTGGGGTTGCGTGGGTGGCAACCATTCGATGTGTCTCTCTCACATCGATGTTTCTCTCTCTTCCTCCCTCTCTCCCTCCTGCTCTATCTGAAGATAAATGCAAACATATCCTTGGGTGAAGATAAAAAAATTAATTTAAAAAAATTTTAAAGCATTTCTCCCAGACTGCAGAATTGTACCTTGGTATGCAGTGTGGAAGAATATATACCAACTTGGGGGTAAATGGTGTAGAGCTAATGTTTAACACTTTATAGCTGCTGTTGCTAGGTTCTGCTAGAATTTATTTGGAGCTTGGAGGAACCTGGAGCAGTTTATAGAAGCTACTTCCTTTCCAAGTGATGAGGCGAGGGGGCAACAAAACCAACGTGTCCCCTTTGAACACAGGATGGGAAGTTGAACAGGAAGGATTGCTAATTATAGTATCTCCTCCATGCAGCTCTTCCATAACCCTCAGAAGGGTTCTAGACCCTCAGCTTTGTAAATCTGTCACTCTACATGCTATCTTGTGCCCACAGTTTAAGAGA